GGTGTTACTTGGAGTAAAATATTATCAGGTTAGATAAGGTTCGTGGCTTTATTGTGTGGTCACTGAAGTAAACAGGCAGTAAACATGTTCTGCCACGTGGTGCCTTGACTGTAGCGTGTTAAGCTGGCATGCGCTATTATCATGAAGCAGACATCTGTGGGTAAAGGCAGGCTGGTGTGTTTACAGCCACTTGGCTACAGCGGTGCTGGTGACCTGTGCTGCTTCGGGGGTTCCTGGTCTCAGGCTTTTTTATTCTTTCACTAATGCGTTATAAGGAACTTCACATTTGTAGTGAAATGGTTTAGAGGAAGCACCTTGGCACCGACTATGTCAGGAGTCGCCCTGTGAATTGATGAGAGTGAATGGATTTTGGACAGCTGTCCCCGGGTAGCTGCTCTAGAACTGTTTCGGGACTTCTTGGAACAACAGGAAAAAACTAATACGAAGAAACAGTTGCTGGTGTTCAGCAGCTCTCCCCGTAGGATGTTTTCAGTCTCCGAGCCTTTTGGGGTCCTGGCCACTGACCCGCTGCCAGTGTTTATTTCTTGGATGGCAGGATTGAGTCAGTAAGTGGCTAAGTGCTTCCGAGGCCTGGTTTGTGCCAGGTGCTGAGGAGGCTGAGGGAACGGTATGCGGAGAGGCCTGGGACTGCCCCGGATGCAGGAGGAGCTGGGCAGCTCAGTGTCCTCGGGCAGGATGTGTGCTCACTGTGGGCGCCCAGAGCAGGGCCTGGCACACAGAGGCTCAGTGGGCGCAGTGCTTGCTGGCACAGGCGGCCCTTCCTCTCAGAGGGGAGGCTGGCTTCCAGTAGGTGTGATCCAGGTGGGCCAAGGTGCTGGAGCTGTGGGGATCCGAAGCTCCTAGACCAGGGGTTCTCAAGCTTGGCTGCACATCAGAATCACCTGGGAATCTTTTTAAAATCCTGATTTCTGGGCCTCATCCTCCGGAAGTTGTTTCTTTGTTACTAACGTTGTGGCCCCACCCCATAACAAAGAAACAGAATTTCCGGAGTATGAGGCCCAGAAATCAGGATTTTCAAAAGATTCCCAGGTGATTCTGATGTGTAGCCAAGGTTGAGAACCACTGTCCTAGACTGAAATGCTGAGTGGTTCCTGGGCCTTTTTCTAAATGGAGGCCTCAGGGGTGTAGGTTTGGAGCTGGGAGGCTGTGACCACTAATTGGCCCACAGCTGAAACCCCTCAAGCTGTTAACTTGCTCCCTTCAGCATCTCCCATCCACCCCACACCGGGCCCCGGCACGGCACCCGCAGCTTTTCTCTGCCCACGTGCCCTCGGTGGTCAGTTCTGCTGAATCTTCGTCTTTTGACGTGTTTGTTTTCCACTGCCTTCACTGACCTAGTTCAGGGCCCTGCAGACGGCAGCTCAATGAGAGCGGCAATCGGCTCCTCTCCCCGCCCGCCCAGTTCTCCATCCCCAGCTCTTGGGTTGCTACCTTCATAACCCGCAGGCTGAGCTGAGCGTCTTGTCAGACCTGAACCTTCCTGACCTTCTGTTTATCCTCGAGCTCTTGCCTCGGAGTCTTCCCAGCTGCCCTGCCCTGCCTCCCAGCACACATACTCAGAGGTTTGATCAAGCTAATGCTGCTCCTCCCTCACCATCCTCCAACCCATCTTCGGACCCTTCTCAGAGGCTTCTGAGCTTCCCCATCTGAGGGTCCGCTCAATCCCTGCCTCTCCTCTTAAATACTCCCGACAGTTCTACTTTCTACTCTCTTCAATCTCATCTTCAATTGGACACACACACAAAGTCCCATATCTGTCTCCGTATTACCTCCCTGGAAGCACCTGTGAGGAGAACGTCATCCATGAATCCTGAGCCGCTCCCACCCCTTGCGCTGACATAGCTGCTGTCGCCTTGCTTAGCCCTCAGGAGGGTGGGAGAAGGGGCAGTCTTCCACCTGGCCTGGCTGGCCACCCCTCACCCCAAACACACCGTGTCTATTTGTCCCTGACCTGTGCTTGCAGTAGGGGAGAGGTGGGCGTGAGGACCCCCGTGGTCAGCTGACTGGGTGGTCCTGGAGTAGCGAGGAGGTAGCTGTGTAGGAGGCCCACTGATCCAGAGCAGAGATGAGGGGGACACCGCTGAGCACCTGCGCGTGTCCGGGTGCTGGCCTGGGTCTCCGTGCCCAGACCCTTGTGGTCTTGATCCTGACCTCCTCCCTGCTCTGAGGCTGCCGTAGTTGTGTCGACACCTGAGTTCTGGCCCTGGCAGCGCCTGTACCTCAGGCTTCAGTTTCTTCATCGTAATAAGGACCATAGACCAGCGCTGTCCAGTAGAAATGCGAGAGCCTCAATGAAGTTTCTAGTCGTCACATTAAAAAGTAAACATTAAAAAAAAAAACAGGTGAAAATAATTTTATTTAACCCATCATGACCAATATCATTTCAATTTAAAATAATATAAAAATATTGATGAGCTGTTTTACTTTTTTTTGTCTCGTACTGAATCTTTGAGATCCCCGTGTGTGTTTTACGTTCACAGAACATCTGAATTTGGACTTGCCCATTTCTAATGCCCAGCAGCCCCATGGGCTGTGGGTACAATATTGGGCAGTGCCGGTCTCCGCCATCTGCAGACATGCTTGACTCTCAGATTCTGGTTCTACTGGTGTGGGAGGCAAGAGTTAACGCATTTATGGAAGGAGAGTGTCAGCTAGGACATAAGCTCTACAAGGGCAGAGATCTTTGTCTCATAAGCTTCTAGAACAGCACTGGGAACACAGCAGGCACTCACATATTTGAAAAGAATGAAAGGAAATTCAGTCATGGTGGCCACCTCATTGGTAGTCATTCAACTGTGAATGAGACCTGACCCTAGAGCACAGGATGTTTGATTCCTGGCCCAGCATGCCCTGTTTTGTTTTTCTACAGGTGAAAATGCTCATAAGGTAATCAAAGAATCGAAGATCAAATCTGAGGGGGGCAGGGGGACCAGGACTCCACAATTTATCAACAATTAAAATTTGAAGCTGCAGTGGGAAATAACTTTCCAGTGAAAGCTTCTATGAGATGCCCAGTGACAGTAGCGCCTGACTTGGTAAATGCTGATGTAATGGTGATCATCCTATGAGTTACAGTCATGGCTTGTGTGACTCCACACGTCGGCGCACTAAAGGCAAAGTGAAGTGGCTTGGCTGCCGGAAGTGCATTTGTTGCAGAAATAGGGACCACACCACGGTTTGGCCCCTTTACTTTAATCCACCCCTTCACCCCCGATTTTGTACACTTACCCACATCTCTGTTCTTAGCAGCATTTATAACGTTGTCTGAGGGATCACTGAGCCTGCTGCCGTGCTCAGACCTGGAGGTCAGGTAGCTGCCACGTGAATGTTAACTCCAGGGAAGGATCTGTGCGAGCTAAAACCTGGATGGAACCTTGTGCATAGTTGGCGTCTGCACTGAAGTGGAGGCCAGCCCGGGCATAGACATATGTGAGAGGGGTGCATATGTGTCTCATGTATGTGAAGTGCATTTGAGCATCAGAGAACTGCTCGTGCCTTTCCTGAGAAGGCCCAGGGATGCTGGTAGTGACTAGGCTGCTAGAGGACCGAGGACCTGCTTGGCACAGCTGACAGCTGACCAGAGCTCTAAGCTGGAGAGCTGGATGGTAAAGTCGCCTGTGGAAGCAACCCTTGGTCAAACCTGGAGGCCCTTGAGCACTGTGGATGCAGGTGACCTTGGTCATCCTTACAGTAACGGTCTCCTGCTAGAGGTGGCCCCAGTTTCCAGGTCTAGTCGGTCTCTAAAACAGGATGGCCAGCTCTGGGCATCTCTCCAATGAGTTCAGACCAGTAGCATCTCTGACTTAGAAAGAGGCCTTTGGTAGGAGGGCGTGGGCCACCCAGCAGCAACAAGGATTATTTCCATTTCGAGTTTCGTAGCTAGCACT